ACTCTCTCTCTCACACTCAGACACCTAGTGACAGACGCACTCTCTCTCTCACACTCAGACGCCTAGTGACAGACGCACTCTCTCTCTCTCTCACTCAGACGCCTAGTGACAGACGCACTCTCTCTCTCACTCAGACGCCTAGTGACAGACGCACTCTCTCTCTCTCTCACTCAGACGCCTAGTGACAGACGCACTCTCTCTCTCTCACTCAGACACCTAGTGACAGACGCACTCTCTCTCTCTCACTCAGACACCTAGTGACAGACGCACTCACAGACACACACACTGACAGACATAGTCACTCACAGACACACACACATAGTGCCAGCCAGCCAGACACACACACATTCCCCCTTGCCCCCCCTCCCCCCAGATTATTTTTTAATTTAAATCCACCCAGCCTCCTTACCTTTGGGAGAGCTGGGTGGATTTTTTTTACCTGGGTCCAGTGGGGCTGCTTGCCAGGCTGCTTGGGCAGGGAGGCAGGCAGGCAGTTGGGTGGCCAGCCGAATTCCAAGGCGGGCGACGAGGGAGCGCTGATCTGTGCACCACAGAGTGATGCCGGGAGCCGGAATATGAGCTGAGCAGAGAGAGCTCACCAATCAGCGCTCCCTTGCCGCCTGTCTTGGATCTCAGCTAGCCGCCTGCCACCAGGCTTACAAGGTATTTGACTGGGCATTTGGGAGCGGCATTTTTTTGATGCCCACTTGAAAGTGCCGCCCAAGGCAAATGCCTTGCTTGCCTCGCAGCTAATATGTCACTGCTTCTAGTCATGCAACAATAGAACCTCACTCGCTTGGATACATCACAAGTAGAAATCCTATCCTACTGGAATACAGCTGTGGCTGCACATTTTATTAATGTCTTTACAATTAAATTGTTACCTGTATTGAACTAAATATTATAGAAAATCCTTACAAAGTTGGGCTTCTTGATAAATGCTCACCTCTCCCTTTGATCATAAAATAAGTAATAATAAAGTAATGTAAGTACCAGGATTGGCTGTAAGCTTTTCATCTATTTACTGGCTTGGTCAAACCTCATTCCAGAGACTGCACTATCTGGATTTGCAAAACATGCAGAAACTTTTCTTTTTTTGTTTATTTTGTTTTTAATAATCATTTTATTCTTGTATTGAAATTTTTTTAGTCTGCCTTGAGTGCCATTATGTTTCTATATCTGTTGCTTTCAATATCTATTTTAGCAACTTTAGATGTTGTGACTTACATCTCTCCTGATGCTTTGCCAGCTTTATGGTTGTAAGAGCATTAAGGCAGATGTAGTCCACATCTGGAATGCTGAAGGTTGTTTAACCCTGGTCTAGAAGACGGGTGATGGGCTAAGATGCTCTCGGCCTGTACCTGACCACCCAATTATATGCTTTGAAGCGTTTTTGTCAATTTCGGGGGTCTTTGCATAATTCCAAAGACACAGAAATGGAGAGATCTGGTAGCGGTCCAGTGGCCACTGGGTGCAGGACATGTCAATTTTACTTACCTGCAGCTGTCCTTCAAGGCTTCTGTTAAAGCTGCAGATCCTCTTGGCGCTTCAGTCAGCTGCTGTAAGCTCCCTGCCCTGCTTTCAAAAGTGTTTAGTGATGCGAGGGCTGGAGTGATGTCATATTCCAGCTCCCAGCATCACTGGAGGACACGCAAGGGAGCAGGTAGATGACAGCTCCCTCGCCGCCGTCCTCTTGTCCGTGTCCCTCACCTCTCCTTGAGCCTTTCTGCCTGCCTGCCTTTTTCCGCTCCCAGGCAGCCGGTTATAACCAATATTACCGTAAACGTACTCGCCTATCCCAGCATGTGCTGGCTGCCTGACAGTGGTCTGAGTGCTGTCAGCGAGTTCAGTGAATGCCAGATTTGTGTAGAAAATGTTACGTGTTAAAAACATTAAATGTGCAGAATATCGGCACCAGTTATTGGCAATCGTCCCGTAAGGCGACTTTATATTTGGTATCGGCTCTTGAAAAATTATATTGGTTGATCCCTACTACATAGGTAGGGAACACTGTACCATTAGTATTGTGTTTCTATACCTGATGCTATAGTGTTGCATTTAATACTAAAGTGAGCACAGTAATGCAAAGTTATTTTAGAGCCTAATGAGACATAAAACTGAAAAGATTGTAATGTTTAAAGGGAGGTACTAAGCATCAAAACCACTACATCTTAATGGTGTGGTTTTAGTGCAATGTCCCCTAGTGAAGATTTACAAAAATTGACAGTCTAATTGTTTGGTATTATTAAATGCTTTGAATGTATGTCCATGCTTTTATGTTTATTCATGGGTATTTTTTGTTAACAGACACCAACATTTTTTCCTTGAGTTTATGATAAAAAAAACAACAAAAAAATACTCCTAGCATCATAACTGCTGTGCTGCTATGTGGTGGTTTGCACCCATGTGACTCTGCCCTCATTTAAAATACACTCCAAGCACCATAACTACTACAGCGCCTCACTATACTGTAAGTGGTGGGTTGACTTCTTACCTGTGGCACACCAGGCACCACTCCATGTCTTCATTACGCCCAATGTAAGAGAGATCATCAGTGGCGCTTAGCTTAGGTGTGGTGGCTGATGTAATGGAGGTAGGGAGCTGTGCCCAGTGGACTTTAGGCAAGAAGTCAAACCATTATAAAATGGTTTAACTTTCAAGGGGTGCACCAGGGCATTCCTGGCTTCATTACTAATCTAAACTGGAGCTGTCATCCACAAAATGTGGTTAGGAATACATTTAAAGGGACATAATAATCACTAGAACCACTACAGCTTAATGTAGTGGTTCTGGTGTCTATATCCTGTCCTTGCACACCTCTAGTTGCAGTCACACAGACAATCACTAGATGTGCATCGTATCTCAGTGGGTCGGGGAGCAAAATAGTTTAACACTGTAGTATTAGGAATATATGTTTATATTCCTGACACTATAGTGTACGTTTAACTGTATGCAAATTGCATTTTCCTCCTTTGTCAAATCCCTGTATTCTTTCAGACCTCTTTATCTCAATGACGTGATATGGGGGCAGTGGTCCTATCATTTTGATCCTGCAATGTTAACACATTGCAGTTTTTTTAGAAGCTGTAATCTTTACTTTGCAGGGTTAAGTCCACAAGTAGTGGCTGTCTTCCTGACTGCCAATAGTGACTCTTCTTCCTCAAGACTGGGTAATAGTCTGAGAATCAAAACCTGCTGATGGCACATTTGATTGGAGTAGTGTAGCATTTGGCAATGCATGCGTGCCTACTAATCCATTTTTTCTCATTTAAAAACAATGTATTATAGGAGATCCCGGATAATGTCAGTTTGTATGCTGACATCACCGGAGGTGGAGCTAAAGGCTGCAGCTGACCATTCCCATGTTGGAAACAAGATGCGTAAACTTTATTTTACTTATATTTTTTTAAATCCAAAGGGGAGTGGACAGAAGTGAACCTATAGTTCTGAAAAACTGTCCAGACAGCCACTAGAGATGCCTCCTCCAGACTGATGATAAAATCAATCTGAGAATCCAATGCTGCAGATAGCATTATTTTAATGGACGAGAATTGTGCTGAGTTAAATAGGAAACAGCCTTTTTTAGAAATCTTGTTACAACATCCCTGTGACGAACTGAGCCGCGTCATGTGTTCTTGGAGGGGCTTGCTGGCCAGCCTCTTACCAAAAGACTATGGGCCCTTTAAAAAACTGTGTGAACAGACTTGTTTCATGGGATTTTATATTTAGCTCGGGAACTGAACAGCTGCACGAACCGGAGACCACCCTTGAGCTTGTTAAGCCTAATTGCTACTTTGTAGCAATTTCCACCACAGTGTTCTGTTCGTCTGGGTGGCAACAATTCTTATGGACGACCACGAGGTGGCGGCCATCTTGTTCGCATGAATGCAGGCAGTGGTGTTTTGGCATGAATCTCATGTTACTGAAAACAGACACAGAAACGCCTGCTGGACTTCCAGCATCGCCTGCGTTCGGTTCTACAACATTTAGAACAAGGGGATCAAGCTCCAGGATAAGACTTTTGATTCTGTTCGGTTGCTTGTTCGTTTTTAAACTACTGAACTAGACCGACCGCAAGCCCTGATTCTCTGGAACTGTTTTGACCATGGGAACATGCGGGCGGTCGGTCAAAATTAAGACTTCCAGGATATTCCTGAACTGATCTGGGGGATTTTTGGATATGTTGGTCACTTAGATCAGGGGATGTACATTTTATGGGAATTTTATGTATTTTTAAGGTACTTTTGGGGTGTTTGGAAAATGTGGGTGTTTTTTTTTTTGATTGAATTTAGTATAGTGCTTGACTCAATTATCTCCCAGGCATAGGGAAGGGATTGACCTATTTTGCATGGGATTGTTCTGGACCGGAGTGCCAATGTGATTGTGTATTTGTTTCTACTGTGGTTTACTCTCAGGTCCAGGGGTAAGAGTCCCTTGCATGGGGACTGTCATAAAAGGCCAGTTGTGGCTACCATTAACCCCTTAAGGACACATGACATGTGTGACATGTCATGGTTCCCTTTTATTCCAGAAGCGTGGTCCTAAAGGGGTTAAACAGATTTGTTTTACCCTTCATGAAGTCTAGGCTTATGTTTGGGGGATTGGAGAACTATATTCACTCTGGGGATTACTATAATCACTATACTCCCTTGGATCACAACGATTGCTCTTGTAAGAGCAGCCTGCTTCGCTCTCTGGACTAGGAGAGGTCTACCCACTGGAAACTGGATCCTGGTCTTGGGTCCAGGGTGGGTGGAGGACAGTGAGACCCCAACCAAGCTGTGGTGGTTTGTGGGGTTTACAGTGGTTATGGTACTCAAGGATTACTAGGAAGCAGCGATTGATGGAGGTACCCAGTCGGAGTGCCAGGCAGTCCATTACAATCTCATCTATAAGTCACACAGCCTGTCCTGTTACATCCTGGTAGTTAACAATGTGGAGTTATTCTCAGGAGGCAGGCGATTGCCCAAAACACCTACTTTCTTACAGACTTCTTAATGAGCTGTGATTGTACACCTGCCAAAGTATGTTTTGGTAATAGGGGATGGACTTTTTAGTAGCTGCATATACTAGAGCTGCAAGTTTTTCAAAGCAATATTCCATATATTCCCAAAGAAAACATGCAAAACAAATTACTTATTTATCTTCCACCTACTAAATTGTTGTTTTTGTTTAGGTTTCTTTTTAAAAGGGTCTTGTTATAACATATTCACGTTAAAGGAGCACTTAAAGGGACACTAATGTCACCAAAACAACTTTAGCTTAATGACGAAGTTTTGATGTATAGATCATGCCCCTGCAGTTTAGAAGTTAGATCACTTTGTTTATACAGCCCTCGTCACTTCTCCCTGCATGTGACTTACACAGCC